GGGTCTTCTTGTGTCAATATTTAATTTTAGCCAACACACTGGTAGGGGTTTTTTGCCAAATAGCCCCCAAAAGTTCCTGCTGCCTGTTGCTGTTCTTGCTGGTCTGTTCATTTACTTTCTGTCCTTTCTGCAGCATATTTTTCAAATAGCATCTGAAAACTATGTTTGGGGTTTTTTTTTTAGCCTTTAGAGGTGCTCAGGTACCTCGATAACAACAACAGTAGATGAAGAACGAAGCTGAAGAGAATACATGTAGTAACAGAAATGAATGAACATCCTCTTATGGATAAGGTGAACATGACATGGCTCTTCATAGTCCTACACCCCTCTCCTAGTGTAAAACTTTCACGCTGCTTAAGTGGTGAGTGAGCCTTTTAGGAGTCTAGGTCTCAGTGAACACTTACGGGCACAGGCTGTTAAAAAACTAAACAACTTGTAAAGTGTCAAAGATGTTTATGCGTTCTGGAAAAACTTATTCTAATTCTAGGTCTTGGCATCTATTTTCTTGCCTCATACAACTGAGCACATTTCTCAAAGGGGGCCAGACAGTTTGCTGTCTCTATCTGTGACTCCTTTCTGGCTTAGTCAGTGCTGAAGTGCTGAGCCCACTGGAGACTGCTGCTCTAGGAAAACCTCTTCACTCACCCTGCCAACATGGTATACAGTAGGATCCCCAAGCTCCAGATGTCACAGGCTGCATCGTAACCTTGGCGTTTAAGGACCTGTGTGAAGGAAAGAGAGAGACGAAAATAGGTTAATCTGCGTTCCTGAATTTTTAGCTTCTGATCTGCAAAAAGCACCGATTAGGGGTCGTATCTGCTGAAATTTCCAGGGCTTAACTGCATATCTGGCTTGAACAGGTGGCTGCCTCAGGATCAAAATGTTCAGTAGTGGTATGGAGCAAGGTGAAGCCCAGGCTAGAATGAGCTGGTTAGCGTTCAAGCCCAGCACCTCTGTCACCTCCACAGTGACAGAGATGAGTGCAGTTTGTTGGAGGCTCTGGGAGCCTCTCTGACCATCTAACACACAGCAAAGCAGAACAACATTTCAGTGTTTTAAAATGTTTCTTAAAAAAAGCTTGTTAATACTTTGAAACGTATCCTCCTAACATAAAGGTCACCAGAACACTGTGGCTGCAATAAGTGTAGGGCAGAGTGACAGTGATAAGCATGTCTGAACTCAGTTTGGATTTGATACAACAAACGGTTGCACGCTAATGCATATCTAATGTCGGACTAGTAAAGATGCATGACAACTGCAAAGCAAGCTAAAAGGCTTATTCTTATCTTAATTCTGTATTAAGAAAAGTGGCCACATTTAGACTGGACTTAACAGATAACAGGCTAAAACTTGATCCCTTTTTCCTATGGGGAAAACAAGACCCATGGTACTCAGCAGAGATCTGACCAGTAGGTTCAATATTGGTACAGGATGGCGAGTTATAGCAGTAAGGGTAAAATCTAGATTTCATTTATGCTAGTGCATACTAGAAGAAATGCCTATTTGAGACAGCGCGGGTCCAAGTGAAAGTGAAGTCACCAACTGAAGCAGCATTGCTGAGATTAGGGGAAGAACTTTGTTTCTGTTTGGCTCAGAAAAGCTCAGGGACCACCTCCAGATCTTTCACTTGCTCATAAAAGCAAACTACCCTTCTGTTTATTCAGTTCTGACACACAAGGAGAGTTTTGTCCCCTTCTGATGCATCAGTAGATACATTAATTTTTTGCAAAGCACATGAAAAAGGAATGTACAAATTCAGCAAGTCTTTCTGTGACCTGCAGCCTTATTACCCAGGAATGACTTCAGCTCTCTGAAGTCTGTCACAGAAAAGACCAAGCACTGCTAGGAAAAAACAGTTGCAGAAAATGTTGCCTCGACAGATTTTACAAATGATGGGTGGTAAAGTAACCATCTGCCAGGTATGGTGCTGAGCGAACATTTGCTACCTGGAAAAAAAAAAAAGAAGAAAAAGCTGCATTTCCTCCTGTTAACAAAGCTGGTAAAATCCTGCTTCTGCCTCTCTCTCCTGCACATCACGTATATGCTCTCTGGCAGGTTTTTTTGTTTGTTTCTTTAGTTCCTGCATTCACTCCCCCTCTGTTAATGTTAGTTTTTATGGGAAAAACTTCTTTGCTATTTGACAAACTCAGTTGCTTCTTGCTTCACCGGTGAGACTGAATATCCAACATTTATCTTTTGGTGTGGCCATTCTCATTGCTTCTTGAACAGTTACATTTTCATTGCCATCACTGTCTTCCTCCAATAACCAAGCACAATCAAGTCCAAGGCAAATGACAGAAAAATGGGGCAGTGGTGGTATTTAGTGGAGCAGCGTATTAAGCAAGTGGTTACACAACCCCAAAGTGATGGGCAGGTGTCGCTGTGTGCTATCATTCAGTTTGCAAAAACACTGCTAGGTAACAGGGACATTCACTCTGTGCCAGTGTCTAGGGAAAGCTTTGCTGGCAAATACTTTTTATTGACAACAACTTCACCCCACAGATAACAACAGGATCTAGTGAGAGCTATCAGTTAGTGTCGCTGCTATTTGAAAATGTCTTCAGCAGGTCTGTGCAACTGTGGTTAAAGTGAGAACACTGAGCTGGCAGGAGCCAGTGTGGGAAACCGTGGCCAAAAAGATTAGTGTTTGATCTAGGGGGCAGATTTTATCAAACAGGCATTGGTCAGGTAAAGAGCTTTGCAGAAGATGCGGTGGTGTCCTGCTCTAATGGATGCTGAACAATTTACCACCCACAAAGGGGTTTAGGTCACCTCGAGAATTTGGTGGGATCTGAAATACAGGCATGAGCTGGTTCTTGGCGCCACACGTGGCAGGGCACTGTGGTGATAAGGAACAGACTTCCCCTGAGTTCATCCAATTCTGATAATGGCTCAGATATTTATCCAACGCCCCTTTATTTCTATAGGCTTTGATTTATTGGATTAACAATGTTAGGAATATAGGCTTTTCTCAGTTGTGACACAAGCAGGGAAGTGCTCGGGTATGAAAGCTAATAAACAATCTCATAATTTCAAATGCCAAAACAGTAGTTCTTCACGGACTTTGGAGGAAAACTGCAGAATAAAATATGTTTACTTTATCCAAAAGGACCCTACTGCATCAGCAGGGAAACAGCAGGCTGCGTTTTCCCCCCAGCCCAGGCTCGCTCTTCGCTCCCTGCACACAGCGTGACTCGCACTAGGTGGCAGCGTGCGTCTTTCTCTCGGATAGCCTTCATCTTTGCTCATGTTCTCCTCTAAACCCCAAATTAAATGTTCCCAAAACGAAGGGAGATCCAAGTGGGCAAACATGTCCTCCTTCCTTTGCCACTGTCCTCTTGTGTCATCAGCTCAGCTGACTTTCTGCCGCCTTGTTTAGTTTCATGGGCATATGGCAGACGTCGCAGCGGGGGCTCAGATGGGGAACATGAAAATCAAGTCTAGGCTGGAGGGCAGCATTATATCACAGGTAAAACGTAAAAGCACTTAAGGCTTTATGTAAGCTCTCTGCCAGTTCTGGTAATGTTTCAATTAATCTCCAACGTTTCCTGCATTAGCAGGACCTGTCTTACTCATCACAAATGTCTGGGATTTCTGCTTTCAGTTCAAATCAGAAGAGTCTGATCTGAAACTGCATTGGGCTGGCAACGTTTGTGATTACAGACACTATGCAAAATAGCCCATCATGAAAAATAGCTACATCTATTTTAAGCGTATTGTATCTTGGGCAAAATCTGAGTGCTTTAAATCTTGCAAACGTGATTATTTTTTGGTTTAGAAATTGAACTGCTGTGGTGCCACAGAACTTTTTTAATTTATTTTGATAAATTTTAAACAGCTCATTCCAGTTTCTAAAATGAAAACCCAACCACCAATCTGTCTTGGCAATGGAAGAATTTTTGTTGAAAAAAATCTGCTTTGAATTTATACTGCCCTGGCAATGGTCTCAATTTAACAAATTCTCCTTCTGGTGCTGGAAGGCTGTGGTTCCTGTAACTTTTGGTCTCACGAAAGGACTTTGTACGGAAAGATCATTCCATTTTTCTCTTCCTAGTTACATACCACGCAGATGAACATTGCATGGAGGAGAGTTATGGGGAAGAAAAGATTGCTGAATGATACAACTGAAAGACAGTGGTATTTGACAGTAGAGGACAGATGAAGTATTGAAAGGCAATAGTTTTGTATTTTTCTTGTAAGGACCATAACAAGCAGAGGAAGACACACATTTGAAGTTGTGCATTGCAAATACTAAAATTTCTGATAAGCGTCGCTCCAAGAAATGGACAATTATCCAGGAAATTAACCTCTTGCTCCTTCATTAGAAGGAAGCAGCTGTGAACGCCTCAAGGGTCAAATACAGCAAACAGCCCAAACCATTCAAACAGCTCTGGGACCCAAATGCAGTCCCATAGGGCTGCATGAGAGGAACAGCACTCGCCAGCGATGCAGAGCCACCTCTCCCCGCGCTTGGGGCAAGCTGTTTGGTCTTCCTCCATTCCCCCGTCTGTAAAAACAGGAAAGCAGCCCTTTCCTGCATCCCCTATAACAGGGGGGATTGGTACTGGGAAAGCCCAAGAGGAGAGATGTTTCTTTAGTTCAATGAAGTCAACAATAAAGCTCCCACTGAACTTCAGCGTGGTAAGGATTTCATGCATGGATTTTTCTTTTGAGTCTTATTCCTGACATCAAGATTTCCCTCTTAAGCCTTATCCCGTTCTGACGCAGTGCACTAGAGAGGAAGCAGTCTGAGCAGAAGCAGCTAGAGAAAAAAAGATATTTATCCTAGTAATGAGCCAAAGCATTGTATACGTCAGTCCAAGACAGACACCGGCTTCTGTCAGGAGAAAAACAACTGCCCTGACAAGACCGGGAATAGGAAAGTTATGGTAATAGAGACTGTGCAAATGCCGGTAGCCTGGTTTCTGCCTTGCTCCTCTTGTAAAGGCAGTGAGGAAAAGGGAGAGAGGGAGGAAGGACTGCTTCCTAGGACACCCTCATTACTCACGGCTTTGAAATGCGATCCTACCTCAGGGGCGACAAAGTTGGCCGTGTAGCAGGGAGTCATGAGCAGCCCGTTCTCCGCTCTCAGTTGCTTGGCAAACCCAAAGTCACAGATCCTGATGGAGTCTGGGTTTCCTGACTCATCCATGTAGAGGATATTACTTGGCTTGAGATCTCGGTGCACCACCTTAACAAGAAAGCAGTGAGTAACAAGTGAGGAGAGGAGGTCAGGGAGCGTCCAGGCTTGGCTGCCATTTCTGGTCTGCCGGTTGAGGTAGGTCAAGAGCTCATGCCAAAAATATTTAAGTTTTGGAGAAAAGTTGCTTAAAAGCCTTGGGCAAATGAAGGAAAAAAAAAGGTCTGTTAAAATCAGAAAGAACATGCTCGACAGCCTCTGTTGGTATATTGAGATAGCGGCTGCTGCTCTAAGGGGGGGACACGTTTCCTGAGGGCGGTCAGAGGGGGTTGCTGTACAAACACCTCGGTGTCAGAGTCTCCTGTAACCTGATGGCCCTAAATATTCAGCTGAAAGGCGAAGAAGAAATCCTGTCATAGGAGCAAAGGGTGTAAGGGTCTTCTTGCCTCTGTCCATGTGAGTGGCTCACACCTGAAGGGAGGTATTATTTTTTTTCCTCATTTCAAAATGTATTCACAAAAATCCTTTCTGTAGGCACGCAACTTCAAGTGGCTGCGTGTTTTACCAGACATGCTGCATTTCAGTGGTGGGAAAACAGCCTTTATTTGTTATAGCAAGACTGAAAAACTATCATGAAAACATAAAAGCCCAAGCACAAAATGCACTTGTTTTATCCATGAAACAGAAAAAGCAGCAAATATTTGACTAGTCATCCAAACTGCTTGTCTCTGAAAAGTAGAAAAGGATTTTCAAACTGCTGTATATAGAGAGCTTAGATTTTAAAAGCCAGCTCTTTAACAGCATGTCAGAAGCCTTTCCCATCAGCTGCTCAAACTGCCACTTCATTTGGAAAGCTGAGCATTTGATTTTCTACCTATCTGCTGCTTCAGCTACTCTATTTGAAATTCTGTTAAAAGATCAGGTACTGTAATAATAACTGTGATAAAAAGTAAACAAGTAATATCTCAACAAGGTACGTGAACTTGAAAATCAGTGTAGTTTGGGAATGAAAATATCATTTCAACATACTGCAGTTCAGTTGGGAAATGGCTAAAAAGCCTATGACCCTATTTCACAAACCAAATGTAATTATAAATATGGAGAAAGATTTTTTTTGGGGGGGAAAAAACGTATTTACATTTCAGAGAAGCAAAATCACAGCTATTTGCTTTTTCTAAAAGTTGGATTTTAAGAAGGTTGATGCGGATAGCCAAAAAAGCAATGCTTACGCCCTGAGAGTGCAGGTAGTCCACAGTCCTGGTGATGGTGCACAGCACAGCACTGGCTTCCCGCTCTGAGAAACACTTCTGCCGAAGAATGCGGTCCAGGAGCTCGCCTCCGCGCATCAGCTCCATCACCAGGTACACATATTTCCCATCATCATAGACCTGGAAGAGTAATAGAATAAATATATGTTTTGGACCCATTAACTTGGTAACGGTTGGTCCTTTAATCACAGTGTTGGCTTGCTTCTGTGAGATGTTGCAAGAAGAAAATGTCAGCTAATGTGTGGGAAATGTGCTTATTATGCTTAGCAACAGAAAAGGCAACTTTATAAAATGACTTAGTCATCACTTTTTTCTCGCGTCTGCAGCAACTTGCTGATTTGTCCACACAGAAACGTAGCTTTCCTGATCTGCTAGCGTGTCAGCAGAGTAGACCAAGCTGCTAAAAGCAGCACCACTTCACACAGCCTGAAATGTCTGCTGGCTCTCACCCAAGCCTCCTTCTCAGTAGTGTTCTCTCTTTCCACTTCTACAGGGTAACATTTGCCATTTCAAATATCAATATTTCCCTTTGACTCACGATCAGCTAAATGAACTGTATTATACTGTTGGCCAAGACCTGCTTCCAGTGATATTAGATAGTTTATATTTGCAATTCTGGTGAATACATTGTTGACATCAGCCGCAAGATGTATTTACCTTCAACGTCAATTGCAAGGGGTAAAAGACATTTTTTGTCTGAATTGGAAGACAGCCATTTTCATGTCATAATCCTTTATCTGGACTGCAATAACAGGCGGTGTTATAGTCATCAATGCTAAATGTTTTTGGAAAGGAATATAAAACCTTTTTTGCACAGATTTTAAGATATTCTTTAACACTTGGGAATTAGGTAAGACTTTCCTGATGGCATGCGATTAGAAATTTCTTATATACTTCCCTAAGGTCTGAACCATAACATACTGGCCACTGACACCAGCAGGATTTTGTTCTGTAAACTCTGAATCTGTGACACAGTGTGGACAATCCTAGGTGAGACTGCAGGCAGTGTAAGTAAAACATCTCTGACTAAAGGTCATTACTGCATGTAAGCATAGCAAAGGCTATTCTTCATATGAAATGCTGAAGAAAGATACCTTCATGTCTTCTCAGGCTGCTTGAGTAGAAGGTAAATACTCCCTGGCATTAAAACACTATCGGGGGAAACCCTAGTGACTCTGTGAGCTCTCCTCTTCCCAACAAAGCAGATACCACATGCCGCATGGGAACGGCTGCTGCTCATGAACGAGCATCCCCTGCCCAGCAGCACCGCTGCGTGTGCTCAGCAGCTTGCTCCGAAACACCCAACTACGGAGACCTCACTTCTGAAAAGTGCTGCAAAACCAAACACATTTTGTTGTTCTCCAGCACTGTGTCCCTTTGGTTTTATTTACAGTTGGTTAGACAGTAATTGGAGAATGTATAACCTGACCAGTCTTTCCAACTGCTATTCAGTAATTTGTTAAGTCACGTTTCTTTCCTTGATTTCAATGGGTCTGGTTTTAGCTTGGACCTTCAGCTGAAGAATTTTCCAGACATGGACTAGTAGGTGAGCCTGACCATAAGGTGAAAATCATTTAATGCTGAAGTGCTCAAAGACTACTCACATCTTTAAGTGTAATGATGTTTGGATGCTGTCCATATCGCAAGAGGATTTCAATTTCTTCAGAGGGGTCTCTCTTGCTCTTATCAATTATCTGGAATAAATGAAGCACAGTGTAGTAAGATACCGACTAGCAGCACTAAGCACAAACCAAGAAATTTCTACAGTTTAAACAAATTAATATTTAAAATTCTTATTAATCATTATTCTAGGAGAGGACAGCTCAAATCCTGTGCAAATGAGAGCCATGCTGACTATGTGCCAAAGCCAGATGGAGCAATAATTAGTTTAGATTCTGAAGGTGCAGGCCATCGTTTTGATGCCTATAGTTTTGTTTGCCCGTAAATAATGGCAGTTACAAGAAGCGCCATTTAGAAATCAAACAACCTGGAGAGTTTTAAAATAATAAGAGTTTTAAAATGACATCTTTGATGTAAAAAATGGATACATTCATAATATTGGCATATGCTTGTATATCTGCTGATAAATTAAAGAAGTTACTTATCAGGTGGATTTGTCAGAAATGAAAATGTGTACACATTTACTGTCAGAGGAGATTTGAGCTGAAGCTATTGGTAATCACTTGGCTCTTTGGGCCATGGTGTTGTAATGAACAAGAGAGTGGCCAGAGATTGCATTTGGCCATGTAACCAAGCTCTGTCTATTCCTAAGCTAGAAAGAAATCTGCTCTATATATCACTTTTCTGTATTCAGCACCTTTTACCTATCAGAGAATATAGTGAGACATGAAAACTTTTTAGTTTTATAGCGGCAGGTCTCAGAACAACATGACACCTGCTGCTTAGAGAGCATCACTGCATGGAAAGCCTGCTGTTAGGATGGCACTGACTTCTCACCAATGCTCCTATTACCTACATTCGGGATGTCAATCCAAGAGCTTCGGTCATTTGCCCAGTTGAGAGCACTGATTAATGTTTCTCACTTCGCAGATTTAAATGATAATATGAAACAAAAAATAGCTATAAAATAATCCAAGGGAGATCTCTGTATTTTGGAATCTCAAATGCAACTGCACAGGGAATGGTGAAAGACTCTTTCTATCAGAAACTGTACTGAGGGTACAGTATTTTGGCACAATTTCTTACGGCTAGAAAACAGCAGCAGTACTTTTGAATAACAGGTTTACTGAAGAGGAATGGGTGGCATTTTCAGAAAATCGTAACTCCATTATTGGCTTCGATTTTGAGGCTTCCAACCTTAAATGTGGTTAGTTCCCTCTAAGAACTAGGCACAGAGCACAGATTTAAAACAATGGTGTTTTCAGGGAAACAACTTTTTAAAAATCTCTTTTGTTAATGAGGATAAATGCCTGACTGCTTTTGCAAGCATTTTTTATGGCTTAACTATGGTGATAGACATTTAAGTACATGTCTAGAATTTTATGCATCAGTTATAATGGTGCATACTTGAATATATATCAGAGGTTTCATAGTCATCGTGACTGGCGTGCATTTGCAGGGATAATGATGGTCAGTAGTTGTCCATGGTTGAGGTACGCATTTGAAACCATATCAGTGATTTGATTCTGAATTAATAGCAGTGTGACAAGTGAAAGTGTAACAGGGAGCTGATGCAGGTAGATGGCTGTTGTTCACATTTGAATAAATGAAGGAAAAACCTCAAAAACAGGTGAGTGGAAAAAATTCTACTAGCAATTTCTCCTTAGAATAATGTTGTTCTCCCCGTTTAGTTGAGACATTCTCAAAAAGCCAATAAAACCCTGAATGACTGACTCATAAATACAAATATAAATACATAATACAGTGACTGAATGCATCCCACTCAACCAATACCTCTAACATATAAAAAGATTCTCAGGGCCACTTCCTTGGCTAAACTAATATCGCTCTTGTCAAGTTAATAGAGTTACACACATGTGCGCCTGTTAGGATCTGCCTGCCTTGTACAAACCAGCAGAACTTACTGCAGCAAGTCTTACTACCACTGTGTGAAGTACTTCTATCACTATGGTACTGTAGCAAGCAATATATTCCAGATTCCTTTTCTGTTGTATTTTCCTGTGAAAGGAAGTATCCAGAGCTGTGGAAAATTTTAAGCAACTATTAATAATGCAGGACTATAAATGTACATATATGGCCTAAAAAAAATCCAAACCAAAAGTAGTCTCAGCTATTGGCACAAAACTCAAAAGAACATCACCTGAAGCAGTCTGCTACTGATTTAGTAGCAACAGCAGTAGATGATATGTAATGGTTCTAATTCGCAATATGCTGTATAAATATCAATCGCGAGACAGTCCCGCTAAATATGCATACTTTTTGCTTTAATGTGTGCACAAGCTGCGATACAGTGATTAAATGGACAAGCTGCTCCAAACCACACAACAAATCATTGTCAGAGCTGTGAAGGGACCTGCCAAATTCCTCTCAGTCCCTGGGCAGTCTGGTTGGACAGACCAGAACAATTTTTTTCCTCCACAGTGAGAGACTGTCACCCTGACAGTGCTTCTCTTCAGTGTGCCTGTGACTTACACTTGGCCCACGGCTGATAAAACAGCAAAGGAGGTGGCTGCTGCAACTTCAGCAGAAATCTCTCTTCAGTTCAGACTGGCTTGCAGTATGCACAGTTTCTTTATTCACATGCTGCAATGGCCACAGCAGCTTCTTAAATATGCCCCATAGCTCCACTGTGATAACTGATTCTCCTGGTCTTCCTCTTCAGAAAGTGTTTCGGTGTGTCGTTAAACCCGTGCCAGACTTTCCAAAGAGGGAACCTGCCATGTCACTGTGGTTCAGCCAGTGGTTGCTGCCTCCTTTTGCACCCAGAGGTGTCTGCGTCACAACATAGAATCATAGAATTACAGAATCATAGAATCATTAAGGTTGGAAGAGACCTCCAAGATCATCGAGTCCAACCGTCAACCCAACACCACCATGCCCACTAAACCATGTCCCTAAGCGCCTCATCTATCCGTCTTTTAAATACTTCCAGGGATGGTGACTCAACCACTGCCCTGGGCAGCCTGTTCCAATGTTTAACCACTCTTTCAGTAAAGACATTTTTCCTCACGTCCAATCTAAACCTCCCCTGGCGCAACTTGAGCCCATTTCCTCTTGTCCTGTCACTAGTTACTTGGGAGAAGAGACCAACACCCACCTCGCTACAGCCTCCTTTCAGGTAGTTGTAGAGAGTGATGAGGTCTCCCCTCAGCCTCCTCTTCTCCAGGCTAAACAACCCCAGTTCCCTCAGCCGCTCCTCAGAAGACTTGTTCTCCAGACCCCTCACCAGCCTCGTTGCCCTTCTCTGGACACGCTCCAGCACCTCAACATCCTTCTTGTAGTGAGGGGCCCAAAACTGAACACAGTATTTGAGGTGCGTCCTCACCAGTGCCGAGTACAGGGGCACGATCACTTCCCTGCTCCTGCTGGCCACACTATTTCTGATACAGGCCAGGATGCCATTGGCCTTCTTGGCTGCCTGGGCACACTGCCGGCTCATGTTCAGCCGGCTGTCGACCAACACCCCCAGGTCCTTTTCCGCCAGGCAGCTTTCCAGCCACTCTTCCCCAAGCCTGTAGCGCTGCATGGGGTTGTTGTGGCCGAAGTGCAGGACCCGGCACTTGGCCTTGTTGAACCTCATACAGTTGGCCTGGGCCCATGGATCCAGCCTGTCCGGGTCCCTCTGCAGAGCCTTCCTACCCTCGAGCAGATCAACACTGCCGCCCAACTTGGTGTCGTCTGCAAACTTACTGAGGGTGCACTTGATCCCTTCGTCCAGATCATTGATAAAGATATTGAACAGAACTGGCCCCAATGCTGAGCCCTGGGGAACACTGCTCGTGACCGGCCGCCAACTGGATTGAACTCCATTCACCACAACTCTCTGGGCCCGGCCGTCCAGCCAGTTTTTGACCCAGCGCAGAGTCCACCTGTCTAAGCCGTGAGCCGCCAGCTTCTCCAGGAGAATGCTGTGGGAGACGGTGTCAAAGGCCTTACTGAAGTCCAGGCAGACCACATCCACAGCCTTTCCCTCGTCCACTAGGCGGGTCACCTGGTCATAGAAGGAGATCAGGTTGGTCAAGCAGGACCTGCCTTCCATGAACCCGTGCTGGCTGGGCCTGATGCCCTGGTTGTCCCACTCATGCCTTGTGAGCGCCCTCAACATGAGGTGCTGCATCCCTGCAAATCTTGCCCCAACTTAGTGCCAAAATGAGCTGCGGTAAAATGCAGGCCCAGTGCTCCTTATCGAACACAGGGGCTAAGGGAGATGTGTCGTGGGCTTCTGGTGATATTTGTAAGTAGTTCTGAGATTCGCAAAAAGTATCAGATTAAATGAATTAAATTATGTGGGTGAAAAGGCAGTGGTTTTACACTAGACAGGTGTAAAACAAGTGCTTTTTGTGCAGTTGTACTTTCTGATTTTCACTACGGGTGTTGCTGTATATAACATGGAGGAAAAGCATGCTCCAGGCCCCTTGTGCAAATGCAGCAGGAGAGAGGCAGGATGGAGGCAGCCCCGGCACGGCCCCCTCTGTGTGCTCTCCCGATGCTTGCCAGCCGGCCGCAGGGCTGCTTGGCCCCCCGGCAAAAGCACGTGGCTTCTGCCATACTTGTGCAGTAACCACTTTCTTCTCCAGACAGCAACACCCGGGCTGCTGGGCACAGGGTCAAAAATCACCGTGAACACCTCAGCCACAAACCTACATGCTTATCTACACACACATCCCCCTTCCTGGAGTGGGTCAATGCCAAGATATATGAAGCAGCCTCGACAGTAATTTGAAAAGTGTTCACTAAGTCAGACTTAGCGATTGCCAGAGAAGGTGAGGGAGGCATTACAAAGCCTAACCGTGGTTGTACTCTGCCTCCTGGAAACAAACCAAGGCGCTCTTCTTCCTAGTCCTTTCCAGGGGGCACGTGGCGAGCATCTGCTGGCTCCTCAGGGCCGTGCTCCCACTGTGCTGAGCTCTAGTGCGCACCTGGGCTCTCCCAGGGTGGGGACACGGATGTTCTTTCCAGTGGGCTTTGATCAGTGGTGAACCACTACCGGAGCAGACACCCATACCAGACACTCGGCTTTCCATTTCTGTGTTACTGTTTCTTCCTCCTGCTC